ACTACATTATGTTTAGACAATAAACGTCTCAGTTTCTCTGATACTCTGATATTTCTCTGATATCTTGTCTTGGAGGCAAAGGAGAGGAATCCATGGTCATGAAGTGGGTCGGGAACAGGGCAGGAACAAAAATGCTGGATTACATGAGGCACGAGGCTATCAGACAATCTGGCAGACTGCGGAGCTCTTAATAAGTGCAGCACACCAAAAAAACAAACAAACAAAAAAAAAAAAAACAAGGCACAGCTCACAGGTGCAGCAGGTACTAAATCCATCCATCCATCCATCCATTTTCTTTACCCGCTTATTCCATTTCGGGTCACGGGGGTCGCCGGTGCCCATGTCCAGCAATCACTGTGCGAGGGGCGGGGTACACCCTGGACGGGTCGCAAGTCCATCACAGGGACACATAAAGACAAACGAGACAAACAACCATTCACTCTCTCACTCACGCCTAGGGACAATTTAGAGTTACCAATCAGCCTAACATGCATGTTTTTGGACTGTGGGAGGAAACTGGAGCACCCAGAGAAAACCCACGCATGCACGGAGAGAACATGCAAACTCCACCCAGAGGACCCCTGGACCGGGGTTTGAACCAAGGACCTGCTCGCTGAGAGGCAGCAGCTCTACCAGTTGCGCCACCGTGCTGCCAGGTACTAAATCATTTACAGTAAATTATTTTAAACGATTTAGCACCTGCTGCAGCAGGAGTTGGGGGTGGACTCCAAGAGGGACTAAAGGCTCAGTTTGGGTCACGCTTGGTTATTTTAAATAAATAATCCCTGCTGCTCATGCGGCATGGACTGTTTATTTAAACTATTAATGTATTTAAATTTAAATTGTTTATGTACACAGAAGGGGGGAGATTGGGAGTGACACTGGTGATGAGGATGAGTGTGATTGCAGCGGAAAAGTGGGCGTAGCAGGTGGCAGAGAGCACGTAGCAGGTGGCAGAGAGCAGGTAGCAGAGAGCACGTAGCAGAGAGCACGTAGCATGTGGCAAAGAGCACGTAGCAGAGAGCATGTAGCAGGTGGCAGAGAGCATGTAGCAGGTGGCAGAGCACGTAGCAGGTGGCAGAGCACGTAGCAGTTGGCAGAGAGCACGTAGCAGGTGGCAGAGAGCACGTAGCAGAGAGCACGTAGAAGAGAGCACGAAGCAGGTGACAGAGAGCATGTAGCAGGTGACAGAGAGCACGTAGCAGGTGACAGAGAGCATGTAGCAGGTGGCAGAGAGCACGTAGCAGGTGGCAGAGAGCACGTAGCAGGTGGCAGAGAGCACGTGGCAGGTGGCAGAGAGCACGTAGCAGGTGGCAGAGAGCATGTAGCAGGTGACAGAGAGCACGTAGCAGGTGACGGAGAGCACGCAGCAGAGAGCACGTAGCAGGTGACAGAGAGCATGCATGAAGCAGGTGGCAGAGAGCACATAGCAGGTGGCAGAGAGCACGTAGCAGAGAGCACGTAGCAGGTGGCAGAGAGCATGTAGCAGGTGACAGAGAGCACGTAGCAGGTGGCAGAGCACGTAGCAGGTAGCAGAAAGCACGTAGCAGAGAGCACGTAGCAGACAGCACAAAGCAGGTTCCAGAGAGCATGTAGCAGGTGACAGACAGCATGTAGCACGTGGCAGAGCACTTAGCAAGTGACAGAGAGCACGTAGCAGGTGACAGAGAGCACGTAGCAGGTAGCAGAGAGCACGTAGCAGGTGGCAGAGAGCACGTAGCAGGTGGCAAAGAGCACATAGCAGAGAGAACGTAGCAGGTGGCAGAGAACAGGTAGCAGA